GAACCCATTGGATTTCCTCCCATTGACTTTTTGCTCCTGTATTGTTGTGAAAAGTGATTCTTTTTCTTTAAAGTAACAACATGAGTTCTAAACGTTTCTTCGTCAGTAATTGATTCGACAATACTTCTGTGAGACTGAACGATTCTTTCATGAACTTTGACTGTCTTGTGGACGTTGCGAATTACATTCGCTTTGTATCTCTGGACGACAATAAAAGATTTGAAGCATGAGAACTGTGCAAATTGCATTGTCCAGTAACGTCTGCTCCAGCTACTTCAACAAGCATCTGGATCGATATTCCTAAGAAGTGATAAGAGAGTGATAGATAGTGGTGAGGGACATTACCTGCAAGCATCCAAGGTCTGGAAATCAAGATGTGGCATCACTAGCAAACCAGGTGCTATGTCGTTAACTCAGTCGACACAGCATCTGGTGGGAGCACCAAATGGTACTTAGCGAACTAGTTCAAGCCACCTTGTGAAGGCATGTGAAATCCTGCTGAAGCGTTCCACTTATCCATTTCGCAGTTTCGCAAGAGCCTACAGGTCTCACCAAAATTTTTGTTAATGAACACGAAAAGGACGCAAGTGTGAAAATAGACTCCAAGCTCAACAGGATAGGATGGTTATGACCGCTCTTTATACATTATTCAACGGGCTCCCGTCTCGTAGCCCCCATACCTTAGAATGCCCCGTCTCGCATTTGACTCAAATACGAAGTTTATTTTTCCAGCCATGGCTGGCAACTGATTTGGACGACCGGTTTTGTTCTGACAGTCGAAATTTCTGGAGTCCAAACGGCATTAGCCCTATTTGACGGAGCGCACTCTACATTTTCGAGAGAGCTAGCTAGAAAACGCTGGTTTGAGCGGCACATGCCGCAACTCATAAGTCAAGAGCTACATGCCTTAGTTCCAAAAAAATTTAGGACCGTATTTGAGGGGGTAAGTACCACTTCTTGCTTTACTAAGTCAATCTTGGTTTCTTCATTGCACTACGTCTGGATCCCGTATTGCATCGTGAGCCTTGTCGCATTCCAATGATATTACGGTTGTGAATGAGTTTGGGGTGCGCGGTGCATCCCAACGATGGTGGATCACCGCTACTGGCCAACGCCAATTTACTCTTGAGGACTGGATAAGAAGGCCATCACTCACCACCTTCACTGATACCCGACATGCACAATTCAAATAACTTCAGTAATCTTTATAGCGTGTAAGTTCCAATGGGTTGACATCATTGACTAAAGATAAATTTTAGTTTAGTGCTAGGGGACAAATAGTTTTCAAGTCGGAAACTGAAGGCGAAAGGCATGGCTCATCTTCACAGTGAACTCAACATATATTGGGAGCTTCTTACGGGGCGGTACTGAGAGTGACATGCTACATGTTTCCCATCAATCACCGTCAAAAAATATGTCGCAGTTTGCAGTTGCCCATTGCTTTCCCTTCTCCTTTCCGAGCTGAGCGCGAACATTCTCTGTCCAGCACCTATCTACTCCACAACTGCTCACTCTGCGGATTCTAGACCACAGTCTATCGACATTTCGCCTCATAGAGTAGATTTCGTTCCTTGTTTTATTTATATTTATTATGTTTATCCATCACTGTACGCAGGTCGGGTTATAAAATGAAACAACGATACGATCAGAAAAACACGAATTCGCCATTACAAGTACACTTACTAGGGAGCGCTCTCGGCTTGGTTTTTTCCTGAATTAGTCAAATGAGCTAAAATTCTGCCCCAGATTGCTAACCTTGAAGCACGAATACTGCATCTGCTTGGAGTGAAACATCTGGCACCGCGCCACTGGCACCGTAGTCGCAGGCAAGTTTTGGTGTCAGCGTGTTGGTAGTTCTTTCACCGGAATTAATTGACGACATGAAACATTGCATTGATAATGCCAGATAATCTGAGAACATCAAATCAGTAGCTAGTAGTCTCGAGTGAAGAAAACGGAATTAGGTGCTTATAGGACAATTGTGATCTGAGGGCATAGAACCAAAGCGATTTTCCGTGCGAAGCATTCGCTGAGTTAGGCGATGGTACGCATTAAATAGGTGTTTTCGCTGCAGACACTGGGGCGTGTCAGGGGGCTGGTTTGCGTGGCGTGAGCCCGTTTTTCAACAATTGTTGTAACTTACCCGCTTCAACAATTTGGAGAAAAAGGAGCTTGTACCGCCCGCATCCCATCCTCCTTGGCATGCCCCAGCGTTTGCACAACTCAGTGCACACGGGTGTGGTTCAAAAGGGTGACATTACAGGTCACAAGGCTGCCTGACCATCATCTTCAGGCAGCCTTGTGACCTGTAATGTCACATGGGTGGGTTTTCTTCTGCGGATCCCAACATCTATTGTGTTGTTTGCTGCAAACGTGGAAAGCGATTGTGGAAAATTTTCTTCCACAGGATAATCTCACTAGGGTGTTCCTGTTGCCCGATGAGAACAGGAGCTTGAGCACTTTTGGTTCGTTAATCACGGAACTCGGCCTGATGTTCCGGTGTAACCCTATCATGACATTTGTCCCTAACTCCTTTCGAACTAGTTATACCACCGCGACATGAGCCCATAAACAGGAATAAAATAATGTTTTGAATAGTTATTGCCATGGACCAGTGATCAAGTGCAGTAGGGGTAAGCCGATGAAAAGGTGTCACTCTTGGCATCTGAGAATTACGATTCATCGAAATGTTTCGCCATTTCAATGAACGTCTCCCCTATTCTTTTGAAAAAAATCTATCACATATTACAAGTTGTGAGAAGAGAGAAGCTGAAAAATATTGCCGAACAATATATATAAAATCATTAATGTGCCTGGAAGATGTGCATCTTCTGCACCAATACTGTCCCTAAAGAACGCTTGTCATCGTGCTGTCCCAAGTCCATGGAAAACGCCGCGTGGGTCACCGTCAGCGATATCGATTCCCACTCAAACAGACCACACAGGTTTGGTCGATAATGTGTGGTCTGCCTGGACTGTCGCCATTTTCCCCAGACTTCTAGCAATTCTCCTTTCGTTCATCTCATTCATCTTTTACTGTACTGTCCCTACGAATCGTTGCGTTTATTGTTAGTCGCCATATGATCGATCGTTTTCTGCACGCCTTTTTTCGCTCGAAAGTACGCAAATGTTTGACGAAAGATTCGCTGTCCATTTCAAATGATTGTTTAGGATAAAATTGACATTTATCCCTGCCCATAATTTATTACTCAAAAAACGTCATTTCCGGCTAAGTGTAGGAAAGATATTGTGGGGAGTACAGGTGACTCACTGTCGATTAATATTCGTGCCAATTTCATGGGTTGCTTCGCAGCTGCTTGTGCTCGTTTGACTTTCTGCAGTCTTCTTTAGAAATTGTTCATTGAATTTCATTAGCACATGATGTTTTTCCAGCGCTAGTCCAGTTTATGGCCGAATTTATTCTGGCCCATCTCTGTTTGGGTACCTAACGAACGACTGCCTTTCTCGATAGAGAACATTCTAAACGAGATGAAGCCTTTCGATCAACCAAAATCGAAATGAAGGCGTTTTATTGCATGTTTTCTAATTCTTTTTTGAACAGTTCTTGATTACGGTGAGCCCAATTCGCAGGAATAGAAGTTTCCTGAATTCACAGTCCCCCAAAGGTGGGAGTTCTGTTGCGATGGCCAAGTAGGCGAGCCGTGCTGCAACCGCAGAGATTGGTACTCGCTTTTTACCGCAGAGCGAATGTGTGCGGCAACGGAGTTAATGCATCTATAAGAGTTATACTTTCATGACTATTTGCCCACGCCTCTTACATCGAGGGGCGCCTAATGCAGCTGTGGCAGTTTCCATCACATTTCATCGTCAAGTTGTGCTCTCCCTTATGCTCCTGGTACCCTTATGCTCCCGTGATGCTTAAGATCAAATGTGAATGATGGGCCATATTCAGACGGTCTCTTTTACGGTTTTCTTCACCGACGAGATCTCTCGCGCAGCTTCTCTTCAATACCTGATCTCAATACCCCATTATTGGTTAATGTGAAAATGTTTTGAAAGCACGCTCCTGTTTGATTTATGACTTCCCTGAAAAGGGCCAGTGATCACAAAGGGTTGTAACTGGACTAATATCCCCATTGCCATAAAACAATTTTGCTTGAAAAATGTTCAAACAAAAAACAAAAACAGGAATCAAAGACAAACCTAATCGAATAAGGTGCTGCGGCTTTTGACAGAAAAATTCCTCAGTTGGTTTCTGTGGCAGCCTACACGCGTTTTCGCAATAGACGCTGGCTGGGGGGCTGGGGGGCAGGTTTGGCGGCAGCGCATAGCCCCGTTAGCCCACCAGCCTTGTTGAAGCGAGCAAAGCGGACATACCGTTTGCGTGGAAAATTGACAGATTTCGGTGTGCAACTAACACCAGCGCCGAGGCGAATGGACACCACGCAGCGCGGGGCCGTCGGCAGGACGGAAACCAGGCGCCCGATGAATCGGCGGAGAAAACCCCCGGGACACGCCACACAGCGCCACGTCACCCGCCGAACTGGAGCCGAGACGGCCACAGAGAAGATCAGGAGAGAATGCCAACCCGGAAGAAACACAGGACGTTAAAGGCGGGATGAGCAAGGTAAAAAGTGGAGAAGAGAGTTAGAAAGAACAAGTGATTCAAGACCAGAAGGGGCTATAGTGAGAAAACATTAAGGCGCTCGTTGCCTGGGGTTGAGTCCAACTGAGATCCGCTCGGCTGACCACGAGCGTGACAAGCAACATCGCTTGCCGCCGCAACACCCATACTTTGAGAATCCACAAATTTTCTATTTAAATTAAATTCTTGTTAATTATGAAGTACCTTTACGACCGCTTCTCTTCTACCAATCGTGGATGTTTCTCTGCAGTAAATGATAGTATTCTGCTAATTATCTCCTTGGCAATTAAGCCACCGCTACGACGCTCGACGCATGTGCACGTCGAGAAACGTCCGATCAAAGGATCGCATGAGTTTCGCGAAAGTACCCGATGTTCTTCATTAAGAAACTGAAATGCACGGTAAGCACTGTTTAAGCACCGCGTCTGCTAAATCCACTCCGGTCGCGAATAAACTTTTCCACTCAAGCATTTTCCCCAGCCCCTAATTTCTGTTAATATCGGACTTTTTCTTATCGCGATATATAGTGACAGTGATCACTGCACACTCTGTACAGACCGCTGTGCAAGGGAAGAGCATTGCTTTTTTCTGTGATCTTCTGAACTGATGAATATCAATTGTTTCGAGAAATGATTGTGGGTTCACGTAAAGCTCTAAAGCAGCGGCTTGACGTATACCTGAAGGATGCGTAACTCAATATTCTGATATGAGCCATGCATTCTAATTTTATTTTGAGTCGCAGTGTCAATTTAATGACTACTTCCTTGAAATCAATAAATCGGAAAAAAAGTTCTGATAGATATGGTTATAGAAAGGAGTAACGATATGGTGTGGTGAAGTGGGACGTATATAGAAACAGAGAAGATGCTAAGAAAGATAAAAAATAGAAGAACTAAATAAATAAATAAATAAATAGATAAATAAATGAATGATTAGATGAATAAGTGAATAAAAAAATCAATATTTGAAAATTATACCACAGTTTCATACAATAATGTTGTAATCATTAGAACAAATTAATTATATCACACTAAAATCACATTAATGTGCTTCGTAGTGAGGGCAGACCATGTTTTATAATCATCATTCATTCACCTTCCAGAAAGGATCTGGTACCAACTAAACGACACTGGATTGAAGGCTTGCCCGGCTAGGCGGATTAGGTAAGGAATCCGGCCCGCCCACTATGCACTGTGGCAGCGCAACTACTTACTGCAGCCATTCTGTTACTAGGATACCATAATAAGCTTGAGGAAACTCCAGCTTGCCTGAATAACGGTGAAAGAAGCATATTTCTGAGCAAATACAGAGAGGGCGCAAGAATCACCACCCTTGAAGTGTGTTTCCCTCTGAAACCGAACTGGTACCGATTTATCGTTCCCGAAAGTTAGAAGGCTTGGTTGGTCTAAGCGAGGGCCGATCCAGGTTTAGATCCGCGTTGCGCGCGCATAGTAAGCGTGCCACTCACCGCTGTGATACCTTCACAGATTGGGGCTTCAAAGGATAAACCTTTAAAGTTCATGAGGGTGGCCAGTTTCTTGAGGTGCGCCAGCAACACGCCTTCTTCTTGAAATCGTAGATTCTACTCACTGTGTATAAGAACTATGCAATTCCCTTTGCATGTGAGAGTTCGATCAGTGGCTTTATCCACTCAGAAAAATTTCTTCCCCGAAACTCGCTTCAAAAGTCACTTAGTCCATATGGGTTAACGGCCCGGTATATTCTTCTTCATTTTTAGACTGCATATCCTCTGTACGGGTTGTTCTGCATGAGCCAAAGGCACACTTACAGGAGGAAGAATGGCTCAAGAACTTCAAAGCCAGCACAGCCAAAAGCAAGCAACTTCGGGAATCCATCGAGGCTATAACGGACAGATTTCAAGCACGACTTGTCTCTCTTCAAGAAAATGTACTTCCAATGCACGAAGTTAATGGAAGATTGCAGGTCAAACAGAAAAGTTAGTTGTTTGTAATGTTCAGAACACTTACTTTTTAAGCACTTTTTGAGTTTTATTCTAACATTTTGCAATTTTTTCTTTTAATCTTTCGCAGGCAAACATTTTGCTTCTATTTGCACGGGATTTTCCATTGGCTCAGACGTGATATTTCTCAATTTCTTCATTTTGAAAGGCAAAAAAGGTCACAAAAGCTGTGTAAAACTTGGCAGGCAGCTTTTTGCTGCATTCGGACATAAAGCCCTCCAATCACCACACATTTTGGCGTTGAGGAAAATTATCGCAAAATGTGATCATTCCTACCCTCCCCTGAAGAAAAATCTTGCTCCACTCACAGTAAGACCCACTTCCCCATCCTACCTACCATTCTGCCAAACCCTGAGATCGTGCCGTCGAGCGGGGTGGAGGTGGGGTAGTAGACACCTCCGACTAGGTATCCGGATTAGTACGATTGATGTCGTCAACTTTCGGAGGGGTAGTGTGAGACGGCATGGAATGCGCCCAACCGCGGCGTTTTCTACTACTGGCTGTTCTCTATCTGAACCTGCTAGGAAAAGCACCCGTGGGTGGGCTCATTCTACGCTTCCTGACCAGGGCACGTCATTGGTTGGGGATTTTGGTCGAGTCCGTACGACCTCCCGCCCTTTTCAGGTGGTTGGTGGCTACGACCCCTCGCCCCTGGTTTCCTCCTCATCGACTTCTTGAGCGAGGGGGGGGGGGTAACATAGCACACATGAAATAGGAAAAACTACGAAAAGTCAGCAAACTCTCTCAGAAGATCGGAAGGGAAATGCGACCTTCCGTCTCCCAACCACTAGCGAATACGACTCCCACCCCTTACTACGTCCCTCAAACAAGAAAAGTCAAACTGCTTGTCTAAATACCCTCTCTCCCAGCGACCAAAGAGGAACCCCCTCCTAGGGCTGGTGCGCCTGCGAAACGAGAAAAAAAATAATAAGTGAGAAAAATTCTCCCAAGTTAATTACCATTTCCCCTTCGTCGTGTCATCAAGTGCGGTTCCCGTCGGGAACATCTCATCGTACGACATGCCCTGGGTTCGCTGCCAGGATAGCATACCTTAGCACCGACGTCCCTCCATATGAACTGTCATTATGTGCCAAATATTACAGTCCCTTGAACAATAGGGCGGATTCGTGAGAATGGGAGAGCTTGCTTTGCGGACCCTGCAGCGAGTTGTAATTTTGAGATTCTGAAGGCATCTGCTTTATTAGTAAGGTTGAGCTCCTGTTGTCCTAGTTTCCAAAACAAGAGGTTGCTTAACGGCCATGGAAAGTGCGTGTATGGGCCAGTGGCGACATTCGCCACAGGATCCATGAGTCTAATCTCAGGTGGAACCTGCACGGTCCAGCCAAGCTGTCTATCACTTCGAGTTACCAGTTACCACCCTTTGTGTGGGACGTAACTCTCTCTGCTCGCTCCTACATGCTCGCTCCTACATCGGCTCATCCCCACGCGATTTAATCGTTCAGGGCAAATGGCAAGTCAAAATGTCATTGAAGGATGAGCGCATAGTGTCTGAAAAAGGAATTTCACGAACGCGCTGATTTTCTTTCAAAGCCGTGGTTTATGAATATCACCCCAAATGTTCAGATATTCAACGGCTAATTAAAACAATCGACACAACCATACAGTTCTATGGCCGCACCAGTGAGTTGGAGAGTTCAATAAGGTAATTTTTCTTATCATACAGAAAGCAAAGCTTTTTTAAGAAGTTACCGGTTTCTTTTTTGACCTCTAGCATAGTTCACTTAATTACACGAACAAGGGATAACTTTATAGGGATGGCAACCCTAGCCATGATTTGGAAACGTATCTGGAAAATATGGAATGTCTGCAGCAGGCCATTCAGTTTTTCGAATCTCATCCTAATTATCAGAATCAGACGGAGAATATGGTTGGTTTAATGCCTCATGTGTTTTTATAGTACTTTTCTAGCTCCTGCTTGAATTCTGCTCTTTACAGAAATTAACTCTAGAAACTGGCTTTTCGGTGTTGGAAACCGAGTATCGCTCCGTTGTACAGAGGAATACCATTCAAGCCGATCCTATGGTACTGATCGAAAGCCTGGATGAACAGTACGGTCAGCCATTTCTTGAGATTAGTTTTGCTTCACGTTTTCTCAATTATTCATTAATAATCATTAGTTTTTAAATAACTTGCATTAATACGTCAAATAAATAAACAAATAAATAAATTTTTTTCGCTTATTCCTGAGTCTCACCTTCCTTATGAAACATGTGTCCAAAGCGGCTTTCTCCTTCAAATGAACCCTTCTGAGATGCGCCGCGCACACTGATTCCCTTTGGAGTCGTGGTGGTTTATGATGCGATTTGATGTGTACAATAACCTGCGGGAGTGGACCCTGCGACGGCGCGGGACTAACGCCAGGGAGAAGAAGAATAACCTGCGGGGCTCCGATGCATGTCTTGCCCCTGCACCACATAATCCTAAAGGCGCTTGTTGTGAAAATATCACTGTGGGTCCACGGCCATCCTTAGGACATCCTTACTCCTAATACATTTCCTCGTGTGGGGACTTTATTCGAACAGTATTTGGGCACACGAGCTACGCATTCTACCTCCATCCGTAATTGTGGACCCAGTCCTATACGCATCTTTGCTAAATACTGCCCTGCGCCGTTCTTTTCGCTGCATACCCAAGCCCACACTGATGGAGACGCTCAACCACTACCACACCGAGGATGCACAACCATTGTCAACCATCTACTTCTTCGAAACACCCTCCCCACCAAAGCATTAGGAGGGGGTGAACCAATCAGGAATGCGCAATATATGGTTCTCCCCGCCTCCAGGACAAGTGTGAAGAGACCGAAGACTTCTAATTGCAAAAACGGTCGAATAAATTCTACTTAGTTGGGGTCGCCTATCATTTACCACCTGTACGTGCATTAGAGGAGTAGGGGACAATTCATTCAATAATTCTTGTTCAGAACTAATGGGCTCTCGTGCCAAAGACATAAAGACTGTTCGTGATTTAACGGCATTAACTCGTCTCGGCGTGTGGCTTCTGGAACGGGAACGAACGCGATTCCTCACCCATTACGCAAAAATCAGGTCTGATTTGAACTATTTAGAACAAGTCGACAATGCGGTTTGAGTTATATATTTATGTCCTTTATTTTTCGAAATGGAACCTTCTTAAGCTTCGTCCTTCTAGCGCAGTTCTGGGTCTCCACCCCCTTTACAGCTCTACGAAACTGTCTATATTGTACACGTAAATCAAACCAGTCCACGAGTAAAACAAGTAAATTGCATGCAAACCGTTTAATGTAGAAGAAATCAATTTTTTTCGGATCCGAATCTTATCTCTTCCAGTTTTGAACAAGACAGGGGGGGGGTAATTACCTTTTGGAGGCACCTTCCACGGGCGTCATATGGGCGAATCAAGACGTTGCGTCTTCCTCAATGCGCGCTACTGCTTTTGTAAGACGGCAAAGAGAATCAGAGTGCCAATGACGGAAACTCAACGTTAGCCTAGCCCCGCCCATATGGCGAGCGTGAATGTGCTTTTTGCGACGTTCCCAGATCAATTGCTTTTGTAATAAGTATTGTTTACTTCATATTTTAAGTTAAATTTTACTTCAATTCAGGGGCGACAACATGATGCGAACGATCAGCGCTGTAACACAACATCATGCTGCATCGAACTCGCGCACTCACCCACGTTCTGCTGCTATAAAGAGGTATTCCTTGTTTTTTTTTCTAGAACCTTGTACACTGATCAGCCTTCACATTTCCACTTTTTAAAATTTGGATTGGGTTTTTGATAAAATTTGTCGCAAAGATAAACCGAGACAGTTTTGCCTACGAACTAATTGAATCCCATGCACACGACTATCACAACCGTCTGGAGCGAATACGCGTAGCGCCAGCTTCACAACTGGCTTTGCACTGAACAAACGTGACAGTTCACGGAGACCGGAGGTACCCTATGGAAAAAGCCCAAAAACCGAGATTTTGACCGAAGCTTCAAAGTGGTGGTGAAAGGGCTAATGATGCTTGGCATAAGCTCTTGACGGGATCCGCCACGTATTCAAATCCTGTTAATGATTGCAAGGGCGTGTAAATACCCACTGGAGCGCTGTTGGCTTGAGAAGGACATTTTGCACTCTCATCCCTTTCGCTGATTCCTTTTGGTAGTTCTTGTCAAAGTACACATCACATCTTTGCTTGCTAGGCCTGTAAATTCCCCTCAAAGGTAAACAATTTCCTGCTACTGCTGGTCTTACAAGGGTTTAGTGGTGTCTATGGGAATCATCGGCAGGTAACCAGCAAGATGCTCCCAATGAGCTGAGCTTCACATCCACTGTTTTTCCACAACACCTTACGGTATCAGATGGTGTTCACTGTCCCCTTCCCCTCCCCTACTTTTCTTCAAAGACTAATCTGGTCCCATCATGATAGCTAGACATTGAATGTGCAGAAAAGCCTTGTTGCCTAGGTCAGAATATCGATAGTTTCATGAATCCTGCCATAAATGCCTACTTGGTGCTTTTTTTCTCTGCTTGAAGGCAGTGGTCAGAATGACTGGGGAAGGGGATTGCCGCCAACATCACTGGTGGAAGGCCGATTGGTGTGTGGCCAAACGGTCTCTCGCAGCCCTTCCACCAAATAAGCCGACAGCATCCGCCCGCCCTCAGTAATCGTGCCCACTGCCTTTGAGACGCTAGTTCAAACAATTGCTACATCGCCTTTCAGCGTGTTCAAGAAGGCAGCTGGCCGTGGTGAACGTCGTGTTGGTGACGTGGATGGAGGAGAGTCAGAAGGGGCGTCTCTGATGGCAGGCTGTCTTTTGGCACTGCTAGAAGTTGAAGAGGCAATTATGGTAAAGACGATACCCGACACAACTCGACGTGCCCAGGTAAAGACGTTTAACTATCCTTCTCAGTACTGGAACTTTCTGGCAATGCTAAATCACAGGTATTTCGTGAACTTGTCGCCAATCCACTCAGTTTTGTTATTCGACACATCCAACGGGTTGTACAGGACAGCGACAAAGGAGTACTTCCACTTCTTCCTCTCCTACGATTTCTCTCCGCTCATCAAACTCGTCTTCAGAATCTCGCAACGGTTAGGAAGGTTATTTGGTGCTGTTCGGCTTGGGTGGGGCATTTTGCGCTTCTACCAGTTCATGTAAGTCACAGATATTATTTTTGCGAGACGTGTAAACTTTTGCGAAGCTGCGAAACGCCACAGTTCAGCCGCTTTGGTCACGAGATATTTCAAGCCTTCATAATTTTCTTGCACAGTCTTCGACGAGTGCCCCCAGCAAGCCGGACCGCACTAGCTATTCCTCTGCACCATGGTACTAGAGGCTGTAATTGAATAATTTTTAGAACAGTATGGCTGATGTCCCTTTTGAGGCCTTGATGCGACTACTACGTGTAAAATCCTCATCATATATTAACGAATTTGTTGAAAAATTGAAGAATGACAATAGCAAGTTGCCTGTAGATGGAAATGTCCATCCAATAACTGTCAGCGTAAGTTCTTTAAATTTTTAAGTTTTCCCCAAAGCATAACGAAACGTTCCGCGATTATCTGAGAGGTACAATCTCTTCAGGTAGATCTACAGTATGGCACTTCCCCGCTGGAATGCGCATGGTAAAAAAGCCTCATGTCCGCGCTTTTCTTCTTTTGACTGTGCCCATAATATAGAGAAATCAGCCCTTTTTCTGTACTAGTTGTCTGGTCTCTCTTTCGCGCCTCTGCGTCTTTATTCGCCGCATTTTCGCAGGGCACAGCGTTGTTGGAGAATCCCCAACAGGGACTCGTATTTGGCCGCCAGGAGGGAGGGGTCGTACTTGCTCACTGTTGAGGAAAATTTATGTTATTTGTAGTTGATTTTACACGCTCGGGCACGTGGTAAAGCAGGGGGAGGAGGTCGTTCTTGCTCACTAGTTGAGAGGGAAGGACAGGTCGTGTTGCTCTTGTGTTAGGTGGTGAAACGAATGCGTCGGATGCAATCGTGATGTGGGGTGGTCTGCGAATCATTGCGGCGAGAAGACGAAGCATTGCGTTTGGACTGTTTTGAGTAGGATCTTGAAGGAACGGTAAAGATTGATATCACCAGATCGAGTCTTAGTGGTTACAGTTTTTGATTGAGTTTTTGGTTTTGACTTTGCTTTTCCACAGAGAATGTAAAAGTTCATTGGAGCATGAAATCAGGGTCTTTAAAGTTTGCTCTGGGTTGACGCTGACGATTGCGCGAATCATGCGAATCACAAAAACGTAGCGAGTATAGCTGCTTTGTTTGTTTTCTTTTGCATTTGTTTATTCCTGAAGGTTTGTGTCCATTGGCAAACAACTGTGTGTTACTATCGAGGAAAACATCCTTAGGTTTTCAGTTATTGATGGAATCGGGTAAACGTTGCGGATGTATACTGTATTAGATCAATCGTCCCTGTCGCAGAGCTATCGGCGAGCAAATGTCACTCGTGAGCTGAGCACTATTTCGGCGCGCGCCGCGCTGCGCGGGCGATGTCTGCGGACGCTGTCTGTTGCGCGTTCCCGCGGCGTGTTTTACATTTTGGCCCGTATAGACGTGGCGGTTGACTTTTCGTGATTTTCCTGTTTACTTGCGTAGATATACCCCCCCCCCCCCCCCCCCACCCCCCCCCCCCCCCCCCCTCCGCTCAGACAAGCAAAGATTTTTTGGGAAAAGTAGGATTTTGAGGAAAAATTTGAAAAGCATGGCAAAGGAAATTAGGAAAAGGGTTCTAGGAGAATAGAGTAGTGGAGATTCTATTTTCCCTTGCTTTTTCCCGTTTCAATGTGCTATTACCCTTTCCCCCCCCTTTCGCCTCGGACTTCCGCTCGACGGCGTCGATATGGGAGGGACAAGAGGGCCGAAGGTGGGCGGGATGATCGCCAACTTCAAAAAAAGGGTGGTAGTACAGACTCGACTAAAATCCCCAATCAATGATGTGCCCTGTTTCGCCCTTTTGCTGAAAACCAGAGGGAGTTGAATTAGTTGAAAACCACTCGGGATCCCTTCCTCTAATTGGGGCCTAAGCTTGATGGAGACCATGTTTTCTTTGTGAGACATTCCCTCGGCCATTCTGGGCTCTGAGCCTAAGTCTTTTGGAAAAGGAATACTGAGCCGCGGCTAAGTGAGCCCAACCAGGTTCCCGCCTTCAACCGTGAATCCTAATCTTGAAATCGCAAAATTTCTCTTAATCTTTTGTTTTCTGAAAATCTCTATAATCTCATCGATTTCAGACAATAAATTTCCTGGCAACTTTAACGGTTCATCGTCATACTGTAACCCAACAACTGCTGCTCATGACTGCCCCTCAAGGAACTAACTCAGCGCTTCTACTGCCAAAACTTTTTGGCATGTTGATTTTCCTTTTTCGTATATTTTTTCCTGTAGAAATCGACTGTTTTGATTCTAAAGCTTTTATTCCAGCGAGAATTTTGTCGGCACTAGGGATGACGTTGAAAAAGAAAAGCGAGAATTATGACGATCCAGCTTTGTCGAGCTTATTCCTTCTGAACAACTACAACTACATAGCAAAAGTACCTTTTTCGGCATTAGTGAGGGGTAGGAAGTAGAGTCAATTCCTAAAAAAGACTTCTTAGGCTTTGGAAGATGATGAGGATGGACTTTTGCCAGTGATTAACGAACAGAATACGCAGATCCTATCGTTTTATCACTCGGAGATTGAGCAGTGCGTCAACATCTACATGCGCAGGTATGATACTGTCATCTATGAGTAGAACAATGGGTCGTTGTTTGGCCTAGAGGGGCATCTTACCAGTACCCAGCGACGTAAAGATTTGTAAGCCGCGACACTGTATCATTCAGCGAAGCTTCTACAGGTAGAAAAGCTTGCAAAATCGCGTGAAGCCGATATAGCCACATTTCATAGATTTCAGACTCATGCGTTAGTTTACGTCACAAACTAGCAAAATGCCCCCTCCGCCACCTTAAGTCGAGCAGCGCCCTTTAGCATTGACATAAGTTCTACCTTTCAGAATACTAAATGCCCCAGTCTTTCTCAGTTAGAAAGTTATTCAATGAAAAACAGCCGACTTTTTCAGCTGGAATCAATGTATCGCAAGTCTTCAAGGAGCTCAGCGCATCGGAGATGATAAGAACATGATGAAAAACATGATCGCTGTAGGTTGCATACGATATCGTTCTAGGCAGTTCTCCAATTTGCCGTTGAAGAACCCATCTTCCATGCAGTACCCTTAGACAGAAGCCCTATGAAACCACCTTCTCTCTCTCCCCTCTCTACAAATCAGTGTTACCTTCCCAGATGATTGCGCTACCGATCTGTGAACCCTGGGAGGATGAAGGACTAAGTTTGCTCGCGATGGGGCCGCTTCAGGATTCGTCCGCGATAAGGCACACTAGGTAAATGGCATCACTAGCCATTACACCACCTCCGCCCTACACCGCCACACAGTTCAACTAAAAAGAGCATGAACCAAGCTTTTTATGTGCCTTAACCATTGGAGATTATCGATTACATATTAGGTTGGCGGGAAAGTTGTGTCACATTTTTTCAAAGACTTTCTTTTTACAGAGAGGCGTACAAGATCAAAATTATACAGCAATGT